CCACTTCCGCTTCTCACTCGTCTTGATGGCATTTTACACACACCCCCACAGCTGCCAGGAAAGGAATGGGACACACTTTCACGTAGTTTTAAGGGGGAAATGGCAAGTTATGCACTCACAAGATCTTCACAAGTGACATGGGGTCTTTTCATACAGATGTTTCCCAAGGTTCGGGTGCTGAACCACAGCGTTTTCCCCCTCAGAGTGTCTCCTCACAACGTTGTTTCCCATTTTCTGTTATTTCCATGGTTTCTTCATAATTTCTCCACGTTTTCTTAAACCGCCTTTGATTTTGAGAAAGCACGGAGGAACGATAAAGGGAACCATGGAAAGGCAACAAATAGAAAACAACGCTGTGAAGAAACTCGGGAGGAAAAAAGCCACTGCGGTGTACCAACCAGCTTGCAGGGAACTCTCTCTAATGAAGACTCCTGGTACGTTTGTTAACTTGTTGTAAGCCGCCCTGAGCCTGCCCATGCGGGGAGGTTGGAATATACATCGAAAATATAAATAAATAAATAAAATATATACATAAATTCGTTGTGTACTTACCCAGGTACACAACTCAGCCTGAGAAGACTTCGTAGGGTGGAAAAAAAAATTAAAATAATGGGTTTAACCAAGAATACCCGAACTTGAGAAACACCAGGAGTTGTTTGTTTGTTTTTTGCACAACCCTCCCGGCCACCTCTCCCCTGCAGAACCCTGGCCTCTGCATTTGTGCTGCTTCCCAAACACGTGGTTAGGAAGCTTTGCTCGCATGCCTTAAAAGAGTTACATAAGAACATAAGAGAAGCCAATGTTGGATCAGGCCAAAGGCCCATCCAGCCCAACACTCTGTATCACACAGTGGCCAGAAATACCAGTGCCATCAGGAGGTCCAGCAGTGGGGCCAGGACACTAGAAGCCCTCCCACTGTTGACCCTCCCCCAGGCACCAAGAAGTCACAGCATCACTTGCCCCAGAGTTCCCAATCTGCCTTTGCTACCAAAACCCTATTTTAGCAGACTCATCTGAATCCAGATGGAAGCCCCTTATCATTTTGGGTGTGACCGAGTTCTGCGTAGATAAGGAGAACAGGCCTACTGATTAATCCTTGTTGGTGTTACTCTTTGGGAAAGGGATGGGGGTCAACGAGCGATAGCTGTGCTGTGCCCTGCAGTGCTCTCCACAGACAGCATTTCCCGAGCTCTCATTTATGCAACGCTGATAAAGCGATCGTCCCAAAAGCTGTCTCAACAGAGCTCTTCTTACAGGGGCCACTGTAAGCTCTTGGAGGATTGGCTACATCAGGCGTGTGTCGCCTAGTATGCAAAGGAGTTCCTGCTACAAAAAGAGTTACCATTCTCACTGTGGGGGCAGAGTTACCATGGCCCTGCAACCTCCACGTAGCAGTGAAAGAACTCTGCAGAGCACTAAACAGACAGTTACGGGCAGGTAATTATAGGGTGCCAAGAACTGGTCTGACGGCCACCAGCTGACATTTGGATTCATTTGTGCTCATCTGTGACTTTCGTACACGATTGAAATTTTGTCTCTTAACACTAACCTTCATCCTCTTCCCCACCTTCTGCATCCCCCCCTGCTGCCCCTCTCCCCCCACCTACCTTGTTTTTGTCTCCCATCACCTTTTTCTGTTCCCCTTCCCCATGTTCAGCTTCTCCGTGTCACCCTTTTTTTGCTCTTCCCCATCTGTCTTACTTCCCCTCCCTCCTATCTTTTACTTTTTTGTACCTTGTCTCTCCCACCCTCACCCCAAGCTGATACTAAAGGCAAAGCTGGCCACCAAGCTCTCCTAATGTGAGATCTCAGTAGCATACTTTTCTTAAAGGAGCAGACACGGCTTCTAGGATTTGGGGGCTATTTTAACCCCCAACGGTTTTAACCGTACCAATCTTTTTTTGCATACCTGGGCCTTCTCCCAGGCTTCTGGAAACATCCCCCCCCCGGTCTGCCCCCTGTCCCAGCGTGCAGATTTTTTGATCCACAATTTAGGACCCAGTTCAGAATCAGATACATAGATACTGGGCAGGGATTCTAAACTCCCTTTCCCTATGCAGTAGGCATTTATGCTCATGAGAGGGCTGCAACTTTCAGTTTTCCCCATCACTCATTTGAAGTCCCCTACTTTGACCCCCCGTGATGTTTCTTGGGATCCACTGATCCATAGGAGCACAGAGATAACTGAAAGGAAGAGGGAAAGTTACTGTTTATACGGTGCTATTTGACTCCTGCTGTATAGGATCCAAGCTACTGAAAACATTCTGAAGAGGAGATCCCCAGCTCCTTTACAGAACTATAACCCCCAGGTGTCTTCATAGGGAAGCCATGACAGTCAAAAAGACTCAAAACTGGTTTAGACTTGTAGCATATACAAACAGCAAAACACACCAGGGAGGTTCAGGAAATTCTCTTTCATGCCAAATTTCTCTACAACCTCTGATCACTCCCCAGGAAAATAATCTGAAACAGACTGGACTCTACTTTCTTTTCCCTTTTCCCTCATTTCACTGTCTACAAAACAATTAACATGTGCTCGCTCTCACATTTCTTTATAAATCTCTCAACGCAGTGCCAGAATATACAGAACCTGCTAAGAACATAAGAGAAACCGTGTTGGATCAGACCAATGGCCCATCCAGTCCAACACTCTGTGTCATACAGTGGCCAAAACCCAGGTGCCATCAGGAGGTCCACCAGCTGGGTCAGAACTACAGTAGCCCATATTTATTCTACAGCCTGGAGAAGTGAGTCTCAAATCAGGCGCCAGAATTTCACACCTCCCATCATCCTCAAGCAGGGCTGCCAACCTCCAGGTGGGGCCTAGAGATCTCCTGGTATTACAGTTGATCTCCAGACGACACAGATCAGCTTCCCTGGAGAAAACGGTTGCCTTGGAAGGTGGACTCTATGGCCCTGTACCTTGCTGAGGTCCCTCCCCTCCCCAAACCCCTCTCCCTGAATCTCCAGAAATTTCTCAAGCCAGAGCTGGCACCCCAACCCTCAACACACACACACACCCCTACCTTCAGAGAACAGTGTATGACAACAGAAACACCATACTAAACAGTAAAGTAGAATATGCACTTTAAGCACTGGAAAAAGGGAATTCTAAAGAGAGAAGGCCAGAAGAACAGAAATGGCAAAAGAATGAAGCCAGGAGCACTGCCCCAAAACACACTTCTTAAGTAGAAATCGCTATGCCAATAAAGGTCAATTGATTGATTGATTGAAATAGAAACCAACACAGCCGTGATTCTCACAAGCTCCTGGCTTACCCGTCCTTCCGCAATTTCACACCTCCCATCATCCTCAAGCAGGGCTGCCAACCTCCAGGTGGGGCCTAGAGATCTCCTGGTATTACAGTTGATCTCCAGACGACACAGATCAGCTTCCCTGGAGAAAACGGTTGCCTTGGAAGGTGGACTCTATGGCCCTGCACCTTGCTGAGGTCCCTCCGCTCCCCAAACCCCTCCCCCTGAATCTCCAGAAATTTCTCAAGCCAGAGCTGGCACCCCAACCCTCAACACACACACACACACACCCCTAACTTCAGGGAACAGTGTATGACAACAGAAAAACCATACTAAACAGCAAAGTAGAATATGCACTTTAAGCACTGGAAAAGGGAATTCTAAAGAGAGAAGAAGGCCAGAAGAACAGAAATGGCGAAAGAATGAAGCCAGGAACACTGCCCCAAAACACACTTCTAAAGTAGAAATCGCTATGCCAATAAAGGTCAATTGATTGATTGATTGATTGAAATAAAAACCAACACAGCCGTGATTCTCACAAGCTCCTGACTTACCCGTCCTTCCGCATACTTGTCCTGGAGCATGCCATGGACTTTTTCCAAGTTGCACTTCACATCTTTAAGTTTCAGGGAAAGGCTCTCCGCTTCTTGCTGGAGGCTCCGGCTTTCATCGGCCTGCCTGTCTTTGCAGTCCTCCAAGAGAGACCCCACCTTCTGCTCAATCTCTAACAGCATTGCCTGGAAAGCCAAGAGGTTAATTATTCATTTTTTACAACTCCCCCGAGGCTTCTTTACGGAACTTATTCTGGCTGATAGATTCAGGTGGGTCACTGTCAGTGCTCCCGCTAAGCTGTGGAGTCTTGTGAGCAAAAATTCTACCTTGTGAGCTGCTGGCATGAAAGTTGTGAGCGAGCCATTTGGCTGCTGCATAAATTAGTTTGCTCTGGAGCCATTCTCCCTGAGCGAAGACAAAAATGTGTGAGCTGGAGGGTAAAAAACCGTGAGCTAGCTCACACTAACTCAGCTTAGAGGGAACAGTGGCGCCGTGCTGGTCTGAAGCAGCAGAGCACAGGTGGAGTCCAGTGAAACCTTTAAGACCAACAAAGTTTAATTCTGGGCGTAAGCTTTCATATGCATGCACGCTTCTTCAGACCCAGTGAATCAAAACTTCCTCTAGCATTACATATAGGTGGGGAGGGGGGTTTAGTTGCCAAGAAAGGCTAGTTAGTGTCAAGATGCGACTAACTAGACCTTCCTGGCAACTAAACCCTTTCTCTACCTATATGGAATGTTTGAGGCAGTTTTGATTCACTGTGGTCCCGGTCACACGAGCGGGATACTGCGCCGCTGAAGGGAGGCAAATTAGAGCCGGAGCAAAAAGAACCGCGGTAGCGTGATCCGACGCACCCCCGTGGCTCCGTGCTCCGACAGGCGATCAGATGTAACGCAGCAAAATGGACGTTGCGCATTTGTGCGCATGCGTGGGACAGGGAACGGCGCTGGCTGCGACGGGCTACCAGCGCTTCCCCGATCATAATTTCATGCCAAGTAAAAATGTCCATAGTCATATTTTATGTTCCTAAAGTAACAGAATGACTTTCAATCTAGAAAAGACAAAAGAAATGCTAATGTAGCATTTTTTTCCGAGCTTCAAAATTTCCGGAAATTTTACATCTCTAGCCCTCAAGCCGTCCGTTTCGCGGGTCAAATCCTCCCGTGTGACCGGGGCCTGTGTTTGAAGAAGTGTGCATGCATATGAAAGCTTATACCCGCCTCATCTCTTGCCTTGAAAACCCCATGCGGTGAAACGGAAACTGAAATCTGGCTTGGAACCCTGGTCTGTCAGGATGAACCCAAGCCGTCGTTTTTGCTTTGGAAGAAATAACAAACTAGGGTCTGTGACAGTCGAGAATCAGAGTGTGTAAAAAAGTAGGGAGAGGGTAAAGAATGTGAGGATACTGATTTGTTTACCTAACGTTCAAATAGGGTTGGCCAGGTCTGACTCAGGAAATACCTGGGGGCTTTGGGGGTGATGCCAGGAGACTTTGGGGGCGGAGCTGGTACCTGCCATTAAATCCTAACTTTTTCCCAGCGACTGAGCTAGATCATAGAATCTAGCTTTAAAGCAAGTGCTCTGAAAGAATCAATTTGTGTGTGGAAACAGTCTTTTCAAAGAGGACAGATGTCTGTCTGTCAGGCCCAATCCCCATATCCAGGCACTTACATGGTACTGAACAGCAAGCGCAGAGTTCCCAACAGTGGCAGCCAGTGGGGGAGATGCGGCAAAGTAATATGTGGCCACCATGGTGCATCGTTGGAGGCACTGAGGTTAGCAGCACGAAAGCGTGTGACTCTTGGACTGGTCAGTTGCACCTGCCCGCAGGCCACGGACTTTATCAACCTATGCCTAATCAGCCACTGTTGGCCTCTCAGTAGCCGCATGCCTGCAACGTCACTTGAACCTCCATCCATTGCTCTCGGTGCCCACCAGTAAGGGCATAAGAATTAGGCTACTAGCAAACTCCTTACAGACTTTTTACATGAAACCGAAAAAGATGTATTGGTGACTGATGGTTTTGAAGAATAACAGAGGGGAAAAGATTATAGATAAAGGAGAGATCTACTATAGATAAAGGAGAGGTCTAAAGTAGGTAGATTACTCTAAAGTTGCCAGTCGTAGACAAAGTCGAAAAATATTCTCTTATTTTCCTTCTACTTTTTGTGTTTTTCTCACTTCTTTTTTTTCTTTTTCATACCAGTTTTTGTGTTTTGTGTTTTTTCCCCTTTTTATGTGTTTTAAAAATCTTAATAAAATTGACGTAAAAAAAAGAACTACTATAAACCTAATAGCCTGGCCTAGCCCCAATCTTGTCAGAGCTCAGAAGCTAAGTGGGTCGTCCCTGATCAGTACTTGGATGGGAAACCACCAAGGAAAACTGGGGTTGCTATACGGAGGAAGGCAATGGGAAACCACCTCTGCTCATCTCTTGCCTTGAAAACCATGTGGTCTTGGGGTTGTCATGAACTGGCCTAAAATCCCCCTCCTCCTCGGTCACCTCTCTGTGTTTGACAGCTCACACGGCTTCAGCTAATGTGAGAGCCAGCTTGATGTAGTGCTTAGAGTGTTGGACTAAGATCTGGGAGAATCCAGGGGCAAATCCCCTCTCTGCCATGGAAACTTGCTGGGTAATTAATTATCATATGGCATTGTGTGTAGAATAGCCGGGAGATCCTAAGATTGTCTGGCAGCCGGGAGTTCTAACTCTTTTTGCATTAGGCACCACTAGGTGGCGAGCTAGACTTGTTTTTTTTAAGGCAACTGATGTTTCAGAGGCGGTTTGCCATTGCCTGCCGTTACATCACAGCCCTGGTATTCCTTGGAGGTCGCCCTTCCAAATACTAGCCAAGGCCGACCCTGCTTAGCTTCCGAAATCTGACAGGATCGGGCTAGCCCGGGCTATCCAGGTCAGGGCCCTTGCAGGGTGACTTTGGGCCACACACTCTCCACCTCACTTACCTCAGAGGTTAAAACAGCAGAGAGAAGAATTATGTAACCCACTCTGGGTCCCCGCAAGGTAGAAAATGAAGCCAATAAACACAGGTGCAGGTGAAAAGCAGCTGCTGGGGACAGGAAGCCCAGCCCCCTCCCTCCCTCCCTCCACTCCCCACCCCTCCACACCTCCCAGCTGGGCTCCTTCCTGTTTACCTAGTTTGGGCAGGGGGTGGGGCTAAAGGTGAAAAGCAGCAGGCAGATCAAACACTGTCTCAGACCTGCCATGTCTCTCCCGCAGATACCCCTGGTTTGGAAGTCCGTGTTTGCTGCATGGGCTGAGCCGATAACCAGAGAAACCAATCCCTGGACGTGCCCCTTCCACTAAGTTCAGGCAGAAGTGCTGTTTACTGACTCCATACAGCAGTGAGAGACCAGAAGGACTCAGCAGCGGCTATGTCAGCATGCCTAAGAGAGAGGGCAAGGTGGCGCAGCTTTCGACGGGCGGCAGTAAATTTTTTGGGCCAGTGCGTCTTACCTGGCAAGCAGCGAGATGCCGCTCCACCGCCTGCTGCATCGGTCGGGCCGGGCCTTCTGATCTCAGGGTTTCTTTCACTTTGCCGAGCCACCCTTCCAGCTCAGCAACTTTTGCCTGGCACACGTGGAGGAGCTGAGCGGGCTCGGGGGCAGCAGGCTTATCGCGGGTGTCCGCCTCTCCCGCGGAGTCTCCCAGTGTTGTCACTGAACATTCTGCACTGCTTGTGACTGGGCTGGAGGCGGATTCACCCTGGAGCAATAAAAGAGAGTCAAACACGGGAGGGGAATAATCGAGGAACTCAAAGGGGTTAAAAAAAATAATCTTTGGGGGGGGGAAGCAGCACCAGCCGGCACTCAAGGAAAGGGAGGGGGGGAGAGAGAAAGAAAGAAAAAGTAACTGCCTGTCATGTGATCTGCTGCAACAGGTATCTAAGCAGCCGATTTGCATTTACACAGGTAGATCAGAGCTCACGGGAAGTCTGAGTCATGGTTCATTAACTGGCTATTCCAGCGGGACACACGGAGAAGTGTTTTTCTGTGGCGTGTAAGTTAAGACTCCAGGCTATGCAATTCGAGGGAGGATGGAACGCCACTGAGTAATGCTTACTCATGACGTCTGGGCTGTCCGATGAATCAGAGCTTAGGTGACTGGTGGGGGGAGGGGGCCAAGAAAAATCTTAAACTAAAAAAGGGGGGGAACCTTAAGCTCTGTGATGGGGCCTGGGCAATGCACCCTCTAAGCTGTGGAGTCTTGTGAGCAAAAATTCTACTTTGTGAGCTACTGGCATTAAAGTTGTGAGTGATTTGGCTACTGCATAAATTAGTTGGCTCTGGAGCCATCCGTCCTGAGCTAAGACAAAAATGTGTGAGCTGGAGACTAAAAAACTGTGAGCTAGCTCACACTAACTCAGCGTACAGGGAACACTGGACCTGGGATCAATGCCCCCTTCTAAGCTGTGGAGTCTTTGTGAGCAAAAATTCTACTTTGTGCGCTACTGGCATTAAAGTTGTGAGCGAGCTATTTGGCTACTGCATAAATTAGTTTGCTCCGGAGCCGTCCTTCCTGAGCTGAGACAAAAATGTGTGAGCTGGAGACTAAAAAACTGTGAGCAAGCTCACACTAACTCAGCTTAGAGGGAACCATGCATGGGATAGATAATTTAAAAACGAGGCTGTTAATGACAGGACATTTGGAGGTCATTAATTCACAGGGTCGTCAGAAGTGACTTGATGGCACCTAACATACACACGTGCATTGTTGGTTTGCATTTATCGTTAAGACACAACAGATATGTTGGTCTTTGCATTGTTGGGGGGTGAAAGTTCAAAGATAAGGATCGTGTGAGAGGTCCAAAGATGATGCAGTCTGCATAGATGGACACAAAAGCACAGAAATCAAAACCCTGGAAGGGACTTCCAGGGTCATCTAGTCCAACTCCCAGTGACCCCTATTCCATGCCCAGAAGATGACAAAAAAACCTCCAGGACCCCTGGCCAAATTGGCCTGGAGAAAAATTGCTTCCTGACCCCAAAATGCATGGACAAACCTACACAAAATGCAAATGTAGACTAGAAATATAAGGAGAAAAGCAGCTTGGGAAGACAATATGGGGGGTGCTTCCAACAGTAGCTAGGGAAGATACCACCATATGTCCCAGGCAATGCTCCCTCTAAGCTGTGGAGTCTTGTGAGCAAAAATTCCACTTTGTGAGCCACTGGCATTAAAGTTGTGAGTGAGTGATTGGGCTCCTGCATAAATTAGTTTGCTCTGGAGCCATCCTTCCTGAGCTAAGACAAAAATGTGTGAGCCGGAGGGTAAAAAACTGTGAGCTGGCTCACACTAACTCAGCTTAGAGGGAACACTGGTCCCAGGTATACTGTATGTAAACACGGGAGTTCTATCATTCCTAATAAACTGTTGAAGGACCCTTTCTCTATGAGTAAACCTTTTTCAAAGGAGTATATGCCAGCAGATATCACTGTATCTTGTGGTTGCAAATTTTGTAAGTTACTTTTAGATTCTGTGAAGTTTGGGTCTTTAAAAAACCCTGTCTTGAATCAATTGCCAATCTATTTATTACATTTTCATCTCACCCACTGTCTAAGGGACTCCAGATAAAAAATGACTGCCTCTGCCATGTTATCCTACATAAGAACATAAGAGAAGCCAATGTTGGATCAGGTGAATGGCCCATCCAGTCCAACGCTCTGTCACACAGCGGCCAAAAATACCAGGTGCCATCAGGAGGTCCAGCAGTGGGGCCAGGACACTAGAAGCCCTCCCTCTGTTGCCCCACCCCCAAGCACCAAGAATACAGAGCATCACTTGCCCCAGACCGAGAGTTCCTATCTATTCCTTGTGGCTAATTGCCACTGATGGACCTCTGCTCCGTATGCTTATCTAATTCCCTCTTGAAGCTGTCCATGCTTGTAGCTGCTGCCGCCTCCTGTGGCAACTGCCCTGTGAGATAGGGTAGGCTGAGAGAGAATCAGCAGGCAGTGGTCACCCAGCGGACTTTAAAGCAGCATGGAGATTTGAATATGGGCCTCCCTGGCCACAGTCTAACAGGCTAGCCACTAAGCCACACTTGGTATAACTCCAAATTCTGGAAGATGTCAGGGAGAAAATTTTTTATCTCTGCCTACTATCTCCAAAGGGTCAGTCTTCTTTGTGGATAAAGTCTTTGGGCTCCTAAGAGCCTTTGTTTATTTTATTAACTAATTTTTTTTCCAAAGTGCACAGGGTAGTTCTTTTGTTGGAATTAGAGATTAGAAACTGCTGGTGTCGCAATACATACCAGCGGGCTGTTCAGATAAAGGACAAGGCTATGCTGTATACACAGCCAAACTGCAGCGGCTGATAAGGCAATGCTTCTCAAGCATTAAGTACAATAATTCCTAAGATCACATGTCAGGTTGCTAAATTTTGTGCATTAATTATGGGAATTGCACCTTAAAAGCTCTTAAATTCGATTTTTTTTATTATTGCATTTTATGTCTGATTAAACTGTATGCTGGTCTAAAGACTGTAATAGACAAACAAACAAAACATTAAGTATACATTTTCTGGATCCTCCTGGGTATCATCTTTTTTTGGGGGGGGATATTTGTGTGTGGGGGCACATGTTCTTGCATGCCTGGAAGCCATGATGACTTCTGGTGCCCTTAAGGTTGCCAGCCTCCAGGTGGGACCTGGGGATCTCCAGTTTTTACAACTAATCTCCAGCTGACAGAGATCAGCTCCCTTGGAGAAAATGACCGCTTTGAAGGGTGGCGTCTATGGGCACTGTACCATGCTGAGGCCCCTCCCCTCCCCAAACCCCGCCCTCTCCCAGATCCACCCCCAAAGTCTCCAAGTATTTTCCAACCCAGACCTCGCAACCCTAGGTGACCCCTACTGGGGTCTGGATGTTTCAGAGAGGTGTCTTAGTATTGCCTGCGTCTGCATCCCAGCCATGGTATTCCTTGGAGGTCTCCCTTCCGAGTACTTGCCAGGGTCGGCCCTGCTTCCCTTCCGAGATTGGATG